GAAACAACAGAATTCATTTTGCCAGTTTTTCCCTTTGGGGGAAAAAAGGACCCATTTAAAACATTTGGACATTGGTATGGACTGTGATGAGTGGCAAAAGCTTCTTTTCAGTATTTGAACAGGACATGGTCACTTGAAATATCAGACTTGGTGGTTCCTGTTTCTGGAATGGCACCTATGCCAGTGTATTTATCTAAAGAAATGCAACTTATCCTAATGCGATAAAAAGGAGACTTTGGTCCAAGTCACATATTCAGCTGAGGCTACTGATGTAAAATCAACAAACTACATCACCACAGGAAGAAATTGGTGTTCTGTGGATAGTGCAACAAGCCTCTTGTTCATATGTTTTTATAATGCTACATGTGTAACATCAATGATTGTACCTAATGTATCTGTGCAAGTGCACTTTCTAAATGCTTTCCTGAGTAGATCTTAGAACAATTGTAAACTTTTATCACTGTTTTGACCATCAAATTGTAAATGTAAATCACATGCAGGTTACCCTTGTAACAGAGGAAGGCTGGTAGAATGTTATGGCCCAGATCTGGTGATGGGTATGGTGATGGAGAGGTGCTATGTCAATGGGGGTCCTGGAAATGGTGGCAGTGGCGGTAAGCATTCTGGCTTTATGCCGAGCTCAAACGTGCCTTGTTTCAGAGGCAAGAGATCCGTAACCAAGTATTGCTTAGCTTAGCCCATGGCAATCCCGATAGCCATGAAGTTTGGTTACAGATGATTTAAGGATGAGGTTCTTCCGTTGACGGACAACCTGTGGGGAAGACACCCCCCACCTAAGACAGGGGTTCAAGGTCCCCCAAAAACAGGCAAGGGAGGGTAACCCTACTTGACCTAAGCCAGGAATGCCTCATTAGAAAATAAAAAAGGGGGAATTGTGGGGACACCAGACCTTGGCCAGAGACCCACTTCCCCATCAGCCTGGGAGTATGCAGCTGTAAGACAATGTTTACTAAAAACATGTTTACTAAAAAACAACACAATGCCCGGGGCAATAAGTTCCTGAAAAGGGCTGACCCACGGGAACTGCTTAAATCACACATCAAACCTCGAACATTAACAATGGGAGACTTGAATACCCGACTCTCACCAGTGGACAGTTCATCCAGACAAAAACTAAATGGGGGAGGAGGGTTGCAATAATTCAACTAGCTATACATTCATTCAATTTTTTTTTTAGCTCCAAGCTTGTGTTTCTCCAGGGTAACCCCGAGGTCATATAAGACCTTGTCACACGGCCTTGTTCTATCACTAGAGTTCCTTGGTACATCAAAAAGATAACTAATGCAAAAGGAAATAAAATGAGTCTCGTGGGGCTTGTCAGGGAAAACCCACCTCTGTGCCCAGGCATCTCTGCTTCCTTTTCCAGCAGCTTCTTCTTCTAGAACACCGCGTCCTGTAACTTGCCGCAGTTAGCCGTGCCTTGTACAGAAGCCTCTCCTCTACCCCATGGTAGTTTAGCTGTCTCCCTGCACCCCTCCCTTAATAAAATCTGGACAGTAGAGAAAAACCATAAAAATCTCAACCACCCTAAATAGCCCCCAATGAGTGTGTGTGTGTGTGTGTGTGTGTGTATCAGTGGGAGGGGGCTGGAGGAGAATGTTGGGGGCCCTGCTCTACCCATTTCTGTCTCATTCTCCTGAGACAGCGTCTTTCACTGAACCTGGAGTGGGGCTGGTGGGTGGGAAGCCCCAGTGACCTTCCTGGCTCTGCCCTTTACAGTGTTGGTTACTGGTGTGCAAAACCACGGATGGCTTTCCACATGGGTGCTGGGGATTTGAACTCAGGTCCTCATTCTTGCACGGCAAGCTCTCTTACCAACCAAGCCGTCTGCCCAGCCCCCATCTCCCCAGAGCCACTTTTTAAATTTTATTTTTATTTTTTTTTTATTTCACGTGCACGGTTGTTTTGCCTGCATGCATGTCTGTGTGAGGGTTGCAGACAGCTGTGAGCTGCCACGTGGGTGCTGGGAATTGAACCTGGGTCCTCTGAAAGAGCGGTCAGTGCTCTTAACAGCTGAGCCACTGCCCTGTCCCACAACAGTCACTTCTAATCCTGGAGGTAAAGACAAACATATGGATATTAATCCATAGTTAAGTAGCTGTGTCCCCCGTGACTTTCGTTCTGTTTAAGTTAAGGTGATAACTGACTTACAAATGAGTAAAAGGCACCAAAGTTGTAAAAACACAAAAACCAAACAAACAAAAAACTAAAACTACCAAAAAAAAAAAAACCAGCAAAACCCTGTCATCACTTCATCAAGCCCCGTCTCTAAGTTTCACCTTCTGACCTTGGCGTATCCTCCATAGTCTACATTTGCTCGTCCGTGATTCGGCTTGAGTCCCATTGACCGTAGGAGAGTCTTCACAAGCATTAGAAAAGCCACCAATCCCACGTGGTCAGCTGCCCCCTGCATCCCTGCAGTGTTTGGCAGGACATCCATCACATTCAGCAGCACCAGCATGGTAGTCAGGCCCGTCTCTCTAAGCGGCGGGCAGAGCTGGTCTTGGCATCAAATTGTCACCTGCCTTACTTATAGCACTCTGTCCTTAGATCCAGGAAGCGCATTAGTATCTGAAAACAGAGATGAGGTTTCATTCCTAAATATGTGATGCGGCAGGCACTATTTGCCCTGAACTTTCTCTCCTATGCGCTAGAAATTTCTATGGTTCTGACCCTGACCTGGCTTCTCAGAGTCAACTGTGTGAAGGAACTTCTGCATCTGGCCTCTCTCTCCTAACATTCAGGATGGGACGTCCCCCTACCCCATTCTCTGTTGTTCCTTTCTCTGAACCCAGTCTCCTTAAGAACAGTGACCTCGTTTTCTAAAGGGATGAAAACAGGGGCTCCCCGGATGGGGTGGGAGAACCCATTCTCCCTGGTGGTCAGGCTCTCACTTCTCAGTGCCTGTGGTGGTCCACGATCCATCCACATCTGTCTAGGGGGATGCCAGAGCAGACTTTCTACTGCTGAGACCCAACTGTTAAAGCAGCAGGATCCCCCCCCCCCAAGCAGGGTCTGTCTAAGGGAGTCCTTGTGTGAGTGGGTGGACCGTTCCTTCTCTGAGGGGGAAATGGAGAGGGTAAACTCTCACGTTTTGAGCCCAGGAAGGCTTCAAAGGTGCTGTTTGGTAGTGGGGAGCCCCATCAGAGCTGGCCTTGACCAGTACCACCGCATAGCAGTGGATCACAGAGGGAGACAGCAGCGTCCGGGAGCCAGGCCTAGCAGGACAGAAGCCAGCTAGCTGCTGGGCCTCACATGTTTTGGAGTCTACAAGAGATGCCAGGAGGTTTTGCTGAGCGACACTGAGACACTGGGTGTGGTGGCTCATGCCTGCCGTGTCATGCAATGCACGAGAGGTTTGAGGCAGGAGGACTGTCGTGAGTTCAAGACCATTCTGAGCTATAAAAGGGGACCCTTGCCCAGAGAAACAGACCAAAAATAAGGAAATTGTATTTGCTGGGTGTGCTGGTGCCCATTTATAATAATAGCCTTGAAAGGCTGAGGCAGGAGGATCAGGAATGCGAAACTGCCCTTGGTTAAGTAATGAATTTGAGGCCAGCCTGGGCTTGCATGAGAACCTGTTTCCAAAAAAACCTAAGTCGTCGTCATTGTCATCATCATCATCATCATCACCACCACCTCCATCCCCACCATGATCATAAGAGTTCATGGGTAGAGAGGCCACAATACAGCGGTGATCAAGGTCATGGTGACGGAGGCCTGAGTATCTGGCTTCGGATATGAACCACAGACCCCTCTTCTGTGTGTTTTTAAAATGTAGCTTTCATATGCAAAGTAGATGCAAGACTATCTGGCATATCAGTGGAACATTCAAAAAGTATTCGCTATCACGGTGACGATCGAATTAGAAGAATTTCTTCCCCCTAAAGAAACAAGCAGCTCTGGTAAGGCCAAAGACAAGAGCCTAGTTGTGAAATGAGGGGTGAAGAGTGAAGGTTGTCCCGGCAGGCCCTGTCAGGGCGCAGGGACGGAATCTGACCCCTGAGCCAGTAGGGTAAAGTAAAGCCCACAAGGAAAGAGGCGCCCGACTTGACCTTCCAGCAGAAAAAGGTGATGAGCCCAAAGCTCAAACCGTCCCATTAAATAAAGATCAGGGCTCCTCGGGCTCCTCGCCACGAATTCATCCAATTCATTCGCTGAGGTCTTTGAGCATCTGTGAGAGATCTGGCCGCTTCTCCAGCTGGGGAAGCCAAGAAAGCAAATGGCCTCTTCTGCCCCCACGGGCTCCAGGTTCCACCAGCAGCTCCAGCAACTGCTCAGCTTCCAGAGCCTCCCCAGTCATCGCCTACGCCTCTCAATCCACTAGCCATTGCCAGACCCTGCTTCCAGACAAAGTAACTAACTCTGGCCCCAGGCAAACCTCAGATGCATGGCAGAACCAGGCTTCAAACGCGGAATCCGCCCCACCTTCATCTCCATCCTGCATGAGGATTCGGGTAGGTGAGGAGAAAAGGCTTAGGAGTCGGGAGGCATAAAGGCGTGAGGTCCTTCCATGGGTATTCGGCTTCCCGTAAAAGATGTCTGGGAGTGGCAGTGGGAAGAAGTGTCAGCTTGGCACTGGAGTCCTGGGGAAGGGAAGCGTGTCATGTTCAAGCCCGCAGTAAGAGGAAGTGTGGGCTTCGAGGGACAGGAGGGGACAGAACCATCGCACTCGCCACCGGGGCTTGCAAGGTCAGCATTCTGCTGAGCGGAGAGCTGTAGCTCGGTTCTCCGGTGGCAGGTTTGAGTGCCCCTGGGGAAGTCAGAGGCTCCGTGGTGGTGAGAGGACAGTGGGAGACCACGTCCCGGGTCTCTGTGTGGGAGGCCAACTGAGCAATGAGGAAAGGGCCGGACGGGAGCGGCCTCGAGCCCTAGAAGAGAAACCAAGCGGCTAAGAGGCAAGCGGGTGAGAGACAGGCCCGGACACCGCTGTCCTCCCTTTGGGAGAGGGAGTTAGGAGCTCTGCACGCTGGGTTCCAAGTAGAATGTCAGAGGGGACAGGACCAACTGCAAGCCTTCCTGCCTGCCTTGGACCACACTGCAAGGCCTCTGTGCCTCAGGTGCTGGGGGGAGGACACAGACTCTACCGAACAGCCCAGGGGAACAAGCGCTGCCTCCCGGGACTCTGAGGTACAGATATGACGGCAAGGTTGGGGGAGACAGGAACGTGGGCTGCTCCGTGCACTGTCATAGCTGGGCTGTCTCATCAAATCCCTGATTATTTGAGTCGTGCTTGGCGAATTTCTGAGGTCCCTATCCATCGAGCGGGCTCCGAGGAGGGTAATTAGGGTGTGCGTGTGTGTGTTTTGGGGGGGGGCAGGTGCTGTTGAATCAATCCCTCATGAGCCAACTGTCTTCTAATGCTGTCGATCAGTTCCTCTGACCGAAACACACTTTATTTTTCCAAAAGTGATAATCCTAAATTTTCCCTGGGAGGCGGAGAAAGGAAGAAGGGTTCACTCCCACCGGTTGACTCCAAGCAGCCGTGGAGGTCAACGGTAAAAAGGAGGAATGGGGTGCAGGGGAGAGAGGGGGCACCTTCAGTGAGGACTTTCCTGTGTACAGGAACCCCCCTCTGGGTCTTGTTGACATGTGGACGCTGACCCGGTGGGGCTGGGGAGGGCAGAGGTTCTGTGAGTTCAGCAAGCACAGGGGGACTCGTGAGCCGCTGCTGCCACAGACGGTGCTTAGAGCGGCGCCCCTTTTCCCGCTGGATGGAGACTTAGACCTTAGCTTCAGAAGGTGGGGCTGCCTGGGAGGTCAGCTGGCCGTTGGCAAACCTAGGACAGCAGAGTGGGCACCAGGTTTATGTCCAGAGAGGTATTTGTGGAGCAGCGAAACTGAAAGTTTTAAGTCTCGATTCTATCATACCTTAGCAGTGAAACTTTGGGCAACTCATGGGCCATTGCTGACTCCCAGTTTCCTGATTTGAGAAGGAGAAACAGTCAGGAGCTGCCTGGTTTACTGCCCACAGGGTGGCTGTAAGGCTCGAATGAAATAATGTAACAAATGTGCTGTACTAACCAAAACGCTTCCAGTGTGTAATCAATCCTATTATCACTACCCGTGCTATGCGAAGTTGAAGGAACCTCCCTTTCTCCGTGTGCACACACGTGGGCGTGCAGGTGTGTGTGTTTTGTTTGCCACCCACTCTGTTTTTAGTTTTTTTTTTTAAATCAATCAGTATTTATGAATGCACCCATTTTCTCTGGTTTACATGCAGAGGTCAAAGGACGAGTGGGGAATCAGTTCTCTCCTTCAGCCACGGGGGTTCTGGGGATGAACTCAGGTCATCAGGCTGGGCAGCAGGTGCCTTCACCTGCCGAGTCCCCTTGAAAGAAAATGGCCCACAAAGGGAGTGGCACTCCTAGGAGGTGTGGCCCTGTTGGAGTGGGTGTGGCTTTGGTGAAGGAAGTGTGTCCCTGTGGAGGAGGGATTTGAGGTCTCCTATGTGCTCAAGCCACGCCCAGTGTGACAGACCACTTCCTGCTGCCTGGGAGCTGAGAATTTTGGACGCTGGGCTCCTTCGCCAGCACCGTGTCTGCCTGCAGGGCCCCCCGTGTTGCACCATGACAGTAACGGACTGAACCTCTGAACTGTAAGCCACGCCAGTGAAATGCTTTCCTTTGTAAGAGTAGCCGTGGTCATGGTGTCTCTTCACAGCGATTGGGACCCTAACTAGGACAGTGGCTCCCACCTTATCTTTTTTTTGGTTTTTCGAGACAGGGTTTCTCTGTGGCTTTGGAGGCTGTCCTGGAACTCGCTTGGTAGTCCAGGCTGGTGTCGAACTCACAGAGATCCGCCTGCCTCTGCCTCCTGAGTGCTGGGATTAAAGGTGTGCACCACCAACGCCCGGCCCCACCTTATCCTTTTGAGACTGAGTTTCTCACTGACCTGGAGCTCTGGATTCAGTAGGCGGGGCTGGCTGACGGGCAAGAACCCGGAGATCATCTGCCTGTCTCTGTGCCAACAGAGCCGTCTCCACGTCACCATTTCCGGCTCCTCACGCGATTTCCCGTCTCACCCTCCTCTGCCTGTTTGTCTTGTGGACCACTGGCTGTTTGTTTTGAGACAGGGTCTCACGCTGTAGCCCCAGCTGGCCTGGAACTCACTGCGCAGCCTGAGCAGGCCTCAAGCTGATGGTAGTCCCCCTGCCACAGCCTCCCAAGTGCCGGGACTCTAGCTACAAACTGCCTGTACCTTCTTTGCGTTTCTTTTCCCCTTTGTTATCCTCACTGCTAAAGGACTCGAACCCTCCCCCTTCCGTGACTCTCTGCTCTCCAGTGAGCTCACCTGGCTGGAGTGACGGGCGAGGCTCACACACAGCTGCCAGTGATGTGTGTTGGTTGAGCCTTTACAAGTCCAGTCTGCCTGCATGTACCCCTGCAGGCCAGAAGGGGGCACCAGATCTCATTACAGATGGTTGTGAGCCACCATGTGGTTGCTGGGAATTGAACTCAGCACCTCTGGAAGAGCAGCCAGTGCTCTTAACCGGACGAGAGAAATGGTTGAGCTGTTAGCCTTTGCTGCTCTTGTGAAGTGTGCCGGTTCTGCTCACTGTAGGGAAAAGGGACCAGTCAAAGAAACACACCCTGAGCAGAGCCAAAGAAACACACTTTGGCCCTGCAACCAGAACCAAAGAAATGTACCCTGACCCTAAAACCAGTGCCAAAGGAACACACTTTGTCCCTGGAATCAGAGTCAGTGAAAGAAATGTACCCTGGCCCTAAAATTGGAGCCAAAAGGCTAAAAAGGACCAGAGAAAGAAACACACTTTGGCCCTGAAACCAGAGCCAAATCTGACCCTAATCCTGTGTAAAAAGTAACCAATCCCGGAGCAGAGCTCTAGCCAATCTGAGCTCAGCACTGAAATCGGACCAATCCCTACCCTGGAAAAACTTCCCCAACCCCAGGAACCCCTATATAAACCCTGTGTATGTTCAGCTTGGCTGGTCCAGCTGTCTTCCAATAAACACCTTTGGATGAGCTTCGGGGTGAAGATCTTCTTTTGCGGCTGCGACAGAGCAAAGGCGACCCTGGGCAGAGCAGAGCAGAGCGAGCAGAGGCGACCCTGGGCAGAGCAGAGCAGAGCAGAGCGAGCAGCGCTGTAACACTTGCCCGGGAAACCTTCCTTGGCAGAGCGGAGTTGTTACACTCTGCTCCCGCCCGGCTCCCTGCTCTCCGCTCGGCTCTCCAGGAGCAGAGCTGAACTGTAGCAACTTCGCCCGAGAAACCTCCTGCGGAGCAAAACTGCTACACTAGGCGAACATGCCCAGCTGGAAGACCCTGTCCTGCCGGAGCGGAGCTGATACACCGGAGAAGCCTTTCTCTGAGGCAAGGCTGTAAGCTGCCAAGCTTACTGCAACCTGTGGTGGTCCTTGGCTCCCGAGCTCCAGGATACCTTTCTACCTGAGCTGTGTAACACTCAGTATCCTTGGCTCCCGAGCTCCAGGATACCTTTCCACCTGAGCTGTGTAACACTGGGTATTCTGTGACTCCCGAGTGCCAGAATACCTGACCCACTCCTGTTCCATCCTGTCCTGACCCATCCCGACGAAACGCTTACATTTGGTGCCGAAACCCGGGATAGGCTCTCCTGGTGCCTGTGCTCCCTTTCATGGTCTGAGCCGCACTGGGATCCTATCCCTCATCTTCAGTCTACCCGTGACTTGGATAGGCTCTCCTGGTGCCTGTGCTCCCCTTCGTGGTCTGAGCCGCACTGGGACCCTATCTCTCATCTCCAGTTGGCCTGCAGCAGACTCGCCTTCCAGCTCACCAATCGCTTGACACTACATCCACCATCAACGATTGGGTAAGTCTCCCCTTCAGTTCCCTAAGTCAGGGATACTTGTAGAGACGGAGGTACCCCAGCCAAGGCCCTTAAGGCTACAGCTGACCCTCCTCACCTTACCCCAGCCTACCACCCTTGAAATTGCAATCCTGCAGTTTCCTTAGGCCCCACCGGGTCATTGCGTCCCTTCCTGACCTCCTCCCTTGGAGCTGGCTGTCGTTGCACAGCTCCTCTAGGCCCTTGCGGCTTCTACGATTCCAATCCTGACCCTTTCCTTTGGATGAGACCCTTTTAGAGCTCGGTTTCCGTCTACGCCTTCTGGCCTCTAGAAAAGCCCTGGTACCAGGCGCCGAGTCTCTTCTGGCTTAGCCGGGCTAAGCCTGACCCCCGTTGAGTTGGGTGACGACCCTCTGAACGGCTTGGTCCTCTTTCGGTGGTCCTCCCTGAGTCCTGGGGACGCCCTTGACTACAGGCTGCAGTGACCTTTTCCTTCTCATCCATGGGAACCGTGTCATCCGTACCCTCCCATTCCCCCTTGGGATGCCTCCTAGAAAACCTCAAGTCTCTACACCTGACACCTGAACTAAAGGGTTCTAAACTTATTCGCTTTTGCAATAAAATTTGGCCTAAATACCATTTAGATAATCAGTCCAAATGGCCACTTAATGGCACCCTCGATCCCAATATTATTCGGGACCTTTACAACTACTGTGAGCGATTGGAGAAATGGAAGGAGATTTTCTATGTCCAGGCTTTCTCTCTGCTACGCTCCAAGCCTTCTCTCTGTGCCTCATGCTCTCCCACTCAACTCCTTTTGGCTAGGAAGTCTGAACAAGATGATCCCTCTACTACTTTTGATCCAGCCAATGAGCCTTCTCCCCGTCAAACAAAACCCTCAGCTCCCCCTCTTGTGCTGGCCCCTCCGATTTCCCTTCCTCCCTCTTCAGTGACAAGTCACCCTAGTCAGCATTCACTGGCACCCTCCTTCAGCTCACCACCAACAGTCCCTAGTCCTCCCACTACTCGATCCCACTCCACTAAGGGACCACCCCCTTTACCTCCCCAACCTAAACCAGCTCCAGTTCTCCCCTTGCGAGAGGTTGCTGGGGTGGATGGCTTAGTCAAAGTTCATGTCCCCTTCTCATTGACTGAACCCTCCCAAATAGGCAAAAGGTTGGGATCCTATAGTGCCAACCCTTCCACCTTTATTAAAGAATTCCAGTATATTACCCAGTCCTATAACCTTACCTTCCATGATGTTTATATGATTCTTACCAACAATCTCCTCCCTGAGGAACGCAGGCGAGTTTGGGAACACGCTAGAATCTATGCAGATGAC